TTCTTGTTTCTTCCTTTCTTCCTTTATTAAGAGTGTTTTGTATGAGAGTTAGTGTTGGGAAGCACTTGTGTGAACTCTTTCTTTGGAGTGATCTTGTGAGGTTATTCCCTTAGGGTATTTGGGATTAATTAGAGTATTTACTCTAATTTTGTACTCTCTTTTGTACTCTTATTGTTATAGTAAATTGTCCCTCTCCGATTGTGGACGTAGGTCACTTTGACCGAACCACGTTAAATTTGTGTCTTCTTTATCTACTTTAATTGTCGTTGTTATCAATTTCCATTGTCTTTGTTATTGCCATTATACCGTTGTTTGACTATATTCCGTAATATCCGAGTTCCCGATCCTAACATGTCCGATATACTTTTGGCACGACTAATTCGGATTCTTATCCTATAAGACCCACTAAAACGCTGGGAAGCACTTTATCGAAAGGTTTTACATACAAAGCTCGAGGAAGAGGCCCGTGATTAAGGGTGAAGGAATTTCATATATGTGTTTGATAATTGTAAACTATGGTATTTGATTGTTATTGAAAAGTAAATTTTTGTTTCTACTAAAATTTGAAAAGTTATCAGTTTTTACTACAACCTTTAAATATTTGTCAAATATTCTTTGCTAACAGAACGACCACGTGGATTGTAGTGATTGGGGTAGTTAATTATAAATTGAGCATTGAGCTGGTCTAAGGGCCACCATTCAAAAACAGAAAATAGGTCTGAATTGAAGCTTTTACATCTTTCCACTATCTTGTTCTGTTTCTGTCAAAGTAATTCGATCCAAAAAAGATGCCAACTGGAACGCTTGAAGTTATTCTTGGAAATGCCAAAGGCCTTGAAGACCAAAATTGGCTCAGTATGATTTCTCATAAACGTCATTTTTATTCTATTTATCCTGATTGCTAAGAGGAAGGGGAATATGGTGTTTGAGCCAGGGGTGAATGTTGCGTAATTCCGATGGGTTCGATTGAACCTATAACTTTTGACGCGGTGTATAATTTATGTGTAAAAATCTATTAAAAATTGCAACGAGGGGATATAAACCCATAACATTAAAAATATAACGAGTTTAATATTATGAATCTTGAAAGCTGAATTCATAGAGTTTAAATTCTAGAATCGCTTATATTTTCACATAATCATATAAAAAATTTGGAAGATAAAACGAACAGTTGTTCTCCTTCACCTTTGGCCACTCAAATGATACAGGTCTAGATTGTGGTGACATTGTTTAGATCTTAATTTTATATGTGCAAATATATAATGTATATATGTATGTATATACACCGTACGTACATGTATATAATAATAAATCGCATTAACGAATTGCAAGTTGCAACTTCAGCTACTTTAATTATCATGTCCTTTACAGCAAGCAGCCTATTTTTATCCATGCAACTTTGATTTGTCCTTTAATTTTGGTAGACATACAAATGTCCTTTATTTTCTAGGTTACTAATCCTTCAATATCTTTATTAAATGAATTTGATTGATTTTTCGAATTTCAACAGCTAGTATGAATCCTTATGTTGTCATCACCTGCCGGACTCAAGAGAAGGAAAGTAGTGTTGCATCAGGTGTGTTATTGATTACTTGAATTAAAACATGAATGTTACATATCTCTATGGTATATTCAGATTGAATATTATCCAATCTATTAACATAGAACAAATATCTCAATATTAATTGGCTATAGGTGAAGGATCTGAACCTGAATGGAATGAGACTTTCCTTTTCACCATTAGTCAGGGTGTCGAAGAGATCACCCTCAGGATTATGGACAAAGATACTTTCAGTTCGGATGATTTTGTTGGAGAAGCAACGTTAATAATCTTTCTTATTCTTTTTCCTCTCATATGATTTTTTTTTTTTTTTTTTCNATAATAAAAACTTGAATGTTACATATCTCTATGGTATATTCAGATTGAATATTATCCAATTTATTAACATAGAACAAATATCTCAATATTAATTGGCTACAGGTGAAGGATCTGAACCTGAATGGAATGAGACTTTCCTTTTCACCATCAGTCAGGGTGTCGAAGAGATCACCCTCAGGATTATGGATAAAGATACATTCAGTTCGGATGATTTTGTTGGAGAAGCAACGTTAATAATCTTTCTTATTCGTTATCCTCTTATATGAACATTATTTTTTTGACATTAATGATATATATCTAATTGTAAATTTTTTTGGTCTATATTTTGTGGTTTTGTTAATTGAAACAGAATTTCCTTACATGAAGTGTTTCGTGAACGGGAAGTGCCAACACGCTCTTACAATGTTATCAAAGATGAAGAATATTGCGGAGAGCTAAAANGTTAATTGAAACAGAATTTCCTTACATGAAGTGTTTCGTGAACGAGAAGTGCCAACGCGCTCTTACAATGTTGTCAAAGATGAAGAATATTGTGGAGAGATAAAACTTGGCCTCACTTTCACTGCTGAGGTAAGATTATTATGTGACAAGAGTTTAACTTATACATACCATAGTATCAAATATTTTTACGCTATCAGACTATCGAAAAGATATCTACGGATAATTCGTCATAAAAAGTAAGATTGTAATTTTGAAAATAAGATAAGTTATTTGCTACAACATCATAAAAAGCGAAATTGTAATTTTAAAAATAAGATACATGTAAAGGCAATCGATAGTGTAGTTTCTTTAACTATTAATGAATATAAGTTAAACTCACATGACAAAAACAATCTTGAGAGTATGATTATACAAGAAGTTTAACTTCTATATATCGGAAGTGAAAAATAAAATTTACTATTCGATCACCTAAAATATAACTACAAATGAATCTATATATAGTAAGTGTGATCTGCAAAATAAGACAAGTAATCTGTTATAACGAGATAATATATAATAATTAATTGTGTAAAATGTTTACACAATCAGTGCATTTAAGCTAAAAAAGCTAAAAAATATTTTCTTAACTTGCAGTCGAATTCTGAAAGAGGATGTGATGAAGAAGGCTATGGCGGACGTAGACAATCACGCGATGACTACAGGGGAAGTGATGAAGATAACAATGGAGGACATAGAAAATCGCGCGACGACTTCAGTGGAAGTGATGAAAATAATCATGGTGAACATAGAAAATCGCGTGATAACTCCATTGTAGAAGATAATCATGGTGGACGTAGAAAATCGCGCGACGACTACAATGGAAGTAATGAGGATAATCATAGTGGACGTAGAAAATCATGTGATGATTACAGTGGAAGTGATGATGATAATCATGGTGGACGTCGAAAATCGCGCGACAATTATAGTGGAAGTAATGAAGATAATCATAGTGGACGTAGAAAATCGCGCGAAGACTACATCGGAAGTAATGAATATAACTATGGTGGATATAGAGAATCACGCGATGACTACTAATCCCGGGAGTTGAGTTTATTTAGTGCTCATTTGGTTACAGAAAATAATCCTAGTGATAATAAACTCTGCATCAATTGTTTGTTGTTTGTTACATTCCTCAACCTTCTTTTTGTCTATATCAACCTGAGGTGTTGCCAATGGCTTGGTCTCCTTAGCCTTGTCATCATTCTTCCAAGTAAATAGGCTTGTTGTGTTTCTAGGTTTCTTTAGGGATGGAAACAGGACGGGGCAGAGCGCACGGGTAGGGGTTAAATCTTCCCCTACTAAGGTTTTGCCATGTCATGCCATGCCCAGTTTAACTCACTGTTTTATTTAGATCCAACCCTGCCCTACCTCGTTTACCATGCTCTGTCTTGCCCCATTTAGCCCCTCATTTATGTGTTCTTTATTTTTGTTCCACGTGGAAGATGAAGAAGTATATTGGCTCTTTGCCTTGAGTTGCCTCTCAAATTTTATGGTCAAATCGAGCAAGATCTCCATGTTGTCATAGGGGTATAACTCTACCATATTGGCAATGTTCTTGTTCAATCTGTTTTTAATTTTTGTCTCTGTATGTAGAATATATGTGCCAATTATATTGTAATTATTAGATTATTCTAAATGAAATTCCTCATGGAATAGAGATACTGTTATTTGCAAAAGAGCCATTGATCATATTATGTTTGTCAATTGTCATATATAATTTATTCTTACTGATGCCTTTAAATTTCACAAGTATATACAATAACAACAATCTAGTATAATTTTACTAGTGGGGTCTGGGGAGGGTAGTGTGTACGCAGATCTTACCCCTACCCTGGGATAGAGAGGCTGTTTTCGATAGACCCTCGGCTCCCTCCCTCCAAAAACTCTACAACTTGCTCTTGGGTGACTCGAACTCACAATATCTTGGTTGAATGTGAAGGGTGCTCACCACTAGCGCAACACGCTCACGAGCGTGGCCATTAAAAAGGAAAAATCGTTGTGGCCATAATGAGCGTAGCGAAAATGGGGACAATTAAGATATTTCATATGAGCTTCGAGGGCATTATAGACACTTAACTATTTTTTTGTACCGGTTATACCCTGTCCTCGTGCTCGTGGCCACCTTGTGCTTGAAATGTGAAATCTATACACCTTTGTATATATACCTCTCGTACTATTTTTTTATGTACCGTATAGCATATATAAGTACACATGTGTGTATACAATCCAAATCTTCTATGTACCATATAGACGTATAAGGACACATGTGTGTATACAATCCAAATCTTCTATGTACCATATAGACGTATAAGGACACATGTGTGTATACAATCCAAATCTTCTATGTACCATATAGCGTATAAGGACACGTGTGTATACAATCCAAATCTTATCTATCCTATAAGGATCCATACCGTGAAACCATTAGCGCCTTCTTTCTCTTTCCGTCTTTCCAATCAATCTCTACATCATTCTTCTTCTTCTCTTTCATTGTCCAAGTACCTTCCATTTGTAAGTTTCTTTTCCTTATTTCAACAATGACGAAATCTAAAAAGGTGTATATGTTGTATCATAGTAGGAGGCCCGTTATATATCGATCATGGTCCGAGCATTCATATATGACTAATGGGGGTAATAAGGCGAAGCCCCTTTGAGTCATACGAATCTTATGACTAAGCCTGTGAATCTTACAACAACTTCCAGAACCATCGTAGATGTGAAAGACATACGACGAGATTTGATGTGTTTGCGCTGTGTTTGTTCATTTTTTTTAACTTAATTGTTTTCTAATTGATCATGATTCGGATCTAATTTATGAAAAAGTCATGTCCAAGCTTTTGTTTTTACTTAAATTCCCTCAATTTGGGTACTTTTTACCTAGCAATAGATACACAATATTTTCCAAGAGCACCTTCTTGCCGAGATTGCTATTACCAAAAATAATTCTGTGAATTCTTTCGAATGACAAGAATTGAACAACGGTAGAAGGTCTCTTTATATAGGTGTAAAGTTAGTCGCAAATCATTTTTATTTAATGCTCCAAAACCAAGAATATTTATGTTAAAAAAAATCTCTTCTATTTAGATTTGGTTTCCTTAACTATTCCAACTCCTCAACCATTTTCCTTTAATGCAAGTATCTCCATAATTATCGAATCATTACCAAATAAGAATCCCTCCAATTAATATTTTTCTTGTAGCGTATGAATAAGTTTTCTTGTGGAATCCAACTTGCACAAGCATTCTGATATTCCGCATATGATCAACATTCTAAACTTCATCTATTACGAACCCGGTGTTGCATTAGCCATATATATTCACATCTGTGCACCATTATAGTAGCATAGCAATCTGTCCATGAACTTGGTTTTTTAACACAATGGATCTCCGTCACGACCCAAAATCCCGTCATAGGCATCGTGATAGCACCTAATCTCTAAGACTAGGTAAGCCGGTTACGTACAACAGCAAAAATCAGTTAAACATGATATTACGAGACAAAAATTTACATAAATGAGAAGTTTAAAGGTGATACTTGCCAACACGGTAATAATCACTACAAATCCCCAAGACTAGGTAGTACAGAGTCACGAACTCTATTGAATACGTAAAGACTCAAAATACAATACTATCGAATAGAGAATTGATAGTAATAATGTAAGGAAAGGACTCCAAGGGACTGCAGCGATCGAACAACTCTACCTTGAATCCTCGCGATCGAAGAAGCTAACCCTGTCTGATTCCATTATATCCAATACGTGGATCTATACATAAATATGCAGAAGTGTAGTATGAGTATACCACGGTCGGTACCCAGTAAGTATCAATACTAACCTTGGTAGAGTAGTGACGAGATATAAGTCAAGAAAACAGAGCAGTATATAAGTATAAAGCTAATAACGAAAGCAAGAATCAGTAAATGGCAATAAGGAATAAGCATGTGATAAAAATATTAAAATAACCAGAACACCATTAAAGTATCAGTGAAACCAAATAAGGTAAACAAATGACAACCGAACAATAAAGTCGTTCTAACACAAGGTTTATAACAAAATCACTCCGCGGTACCACTCCTCAAAACCACAAGCCACGAGTCTCAAATCATAATTCATATACACATGGCACCTCATGCCCACATTATCAATCACAACTGCATGGACAACTCACGTGTTGCACGAAAAATCATGCGCCAATATCACAATCCATCTAGCATGGTCACATGCTTACTACCACAATCCGCTCGGCGTGGTCATAGTCTCAATATCGCAATAAGAGCATATATACAGGAATACATGTTCATGGTTAATGAATGTCAAGTTTCATACTTATGAACTGGTATAAAGGGTATGCTACGGTGTATGCTTGCACGAGTATACCATTACGGTCCAAGTCAACAGGTAATATCAAAGACATCGAGTATCTTATTGAAACAACACAACAAGTCACGTAAGGTGCATTGACATACCCAAGAAAAATCACGCCATCACACGAATATAATCAATATTATGCCCCACAGGCCGTCACATATCATCCTTGATATAGCCACCCTTATCTCTCCGTATTGACAATATTATAATAGCCACCCATATCGCTCCGCCCAGACATTTAACACAATAGCCACCCGTATCACTTCGCCCAAACAAAGCATAGCCAGCTGTATCACTCTGCCCAGACAATATATCACATTAGCCACCCCTATCACTCCGCACAATCGACAAGAGTGAGATGCCACCCTTATGTTCCGCAAAGCAGCAATCAGTCCACACAACAAATTCACGTTGCTAATATCACAACAACAGGACATATAAATTCGTACCACAAATGCCCATAGGCCACAACCTTTCCAAAACAACAATACCGATATTATCACAACACATAGCTCACGACTCAACCTCGATGTGTACAAGAATCTCAATAGCAATGAATTGAAGCCGGAACATAACTCGACAATGAAAAATACTCCATTAAACAACAATTTCAACTAAAACAGGTTAAAGGCTCTTAATAACTTCAACTTCAATTAATTGCCTAAGAGTAAACTCAACAATGAAGGTATTTTCATGAAATGACAACTTCCAATTCTAGTGAATAACATAAGCTAACAATGAAATAGATGGCATGAAATAAAAACTATGTCTAAAAGCATGAAAATAGCTCGACAACAAAGGAATATCGTGTAATAGCAACTTCATTAAGAATAATTCAACAATAAAAGAGGTAACATTACAATGAAAGAGGTAATAACTTCAACTATACATATAAGAATAAACTTTGACAAATAAAAGATAGAACATGTGCTAACAATTTCAAATGAAGCATGTAAGAGTAAACTTAATATAGAGGATATAACATGATAAAGCCAAGGAGTCTATCCTATCAAATACCACATATAATCCCGTATACACACTCGTCACCTCGCGTACACGTCTGCCACATAATTCAAACAATACAATTAACCCAAATCCTAAGGGGTAGTTCCCCCACACAAAATTAGGCAAGATACTTACCTCAATTAGGTCAAATCAACACTCAAAAATAGCTTTACCTTTACAAGTCACCTCCGCTCTACTCAAATCTAACTAAAATTGACTTAATAACATAAAATAATACAAGAGAAACTAATTACAATAGATAAAGTTTAAATCTTTATACAATTCTCCAAAAGTCAATAAAAGTCAATCTCGGGCTCTCCCAGTCAAAACCAGAGTCCAAGGATTGATCTTATCTACCCATAAACCCACAGGTCTCTATATGTGCTTTGTTTTCAAATTCGAGTCCAAATCGACTCTCAAAACTCAAATTTTTATTATTTCAAACTTTAGACAAAAATCCCCAAAATTCCTTTTTGATTTTCATAAATTTGATGTTAAATCTCATATATAATCATGAAATATAGTTGAAAATTGATTAAAATCACTTACCCAATATTTTGGTATGAAAATCTCTCCACAAAATCGCCTCCCACCGAGTCTAGGGCTCAAAAATATGTTAAAATAAGACTAAGTCCCGAAATACAAAACATATAACCAGGTGCAGATGTCGCATTTGCGACCCCGGGTTAGCAAATGTGAAGCCGCAAAAGCAAACCCTGAGAATCTCTGCTAAATTCGCATTTACGACCATAATCTTTGCAAATGTGAAGCTCCTTTTTACCCAGCTGCCATCGCAAAAACGACATTTGTCTTGCAAAAGTGAACACCAAGCCTCTCGCAAAATCGAAGAATTTCTTTGCAAATGCGAGTCCCTTCCCCCGTAACTCAGAATCGCAAAAGCGACTAGAACTCCGCAAATGCGATGGTTGCATTTGCGACCTTTTCATCGCAAACCAGCACACAAAAGTTTAACAAAACATCCGAAAACCAATCTGAAACTCACCCGAGCCGTCAGGGCTCCGCGCCAAACATCCACACAAGTCTAAAAACTACATACGAACTCGCTCGCGCTATCAAAATACCAAATAAAGTCTAGAACCACAAATCGGACATCAAAACGCATGATTTTCAAAAGAAAACTCAAGAACTTCTATATTGTAACCAAGCGTCCTGAATCATATCAAGCCAACTCCAAAAGACACGAAATTTTGCGAACAAGTTCCAAATAGCAAAAATGGACCTATTCCAAGTCTCAAAACCAAATTCCGAACCCAATAGCCATAAAG